GCCTATGCCTCCACCTTGGCTGGAAGTCCACAACTAGTAAATTTTTTCCTCCCTGTAGGCTATTGATTCTTCTTTTTAACTTTCGATTTATGAAAAACATACAGAAAAGTTGAAAGACTAATAACTAAACACCATATACCCATAACCTAGATTCAGCAAACATTGCCATAATTGTTATATTTTTTGCCAAACCATTTCAGGGTCAGCAGCTAATGTTATGAGACCCTCCCCTCTACATACTCCAGCATTCATTTCCTAATAATGCCATTTTCACACCTAAGAATTAACAGTACTTTCCTGAGAGTATCTAATCCATCCTGAATCTAGGCCATATTCAGGTTTCCCCTTTATCCCAATGTCTTTTTAGTTGCTTTTTTCCAAACACATCGCATTCAGCAGTATGTCTCCTTAGTCTTTTTATTCAAGCATACACTTCCCCAGACCTTTCCTTTCCCAATGACACTGGCTTTTGAAGACACCATGCCAGTCATGAATTGTCTCACACTTGGATCGTCCAGTTGTTCCTGTGGTCTCATTTGTTCCTCTCTGAGTCTGGCACTTGTATTCCTTGGACGCTGAAAGCTAAGTCTGGAGGCCGGACCAGGCTCAGGTTGGCCCTTGGGCGGGACTTCTTCCCCGGAAGTGCCTGTAGGAGCAGAGTCACAGCGGGAGGCATGCGGTAGGCCCACCGTCGGGATGCGGAGTCTCTCCTTTGTTTTGAGGTAACGGCAGAGTGTGCGCTTCCTGTTTCAATCTGAAGTCATCTTCAGTCGCCCTTTGGCGCCATGTGAATGCCTTGTTTCCTCAACGGCTTTTTACCTGTAGATTTTCATATCCATCCTCGCCTAAATCAGTGATTTGATTGGTGGTTATGAAATGGTGATTTTTTAAGTACTTTTACTTTTCTTCCCCATTTATTTGCTGCCATTCTGCTCTGAAGAAGAGCTTTTCATTATCAGCTGGGGATGATTCTAATTCTTCCTTAAAAGGTAGGATATGATCTTAGTTCTTCACCGAGTTTCACAGTAAGGAGTAAGGGTAATAGTCATGGCAAATGATCTTTCTTTTAATAGATTTTTGCATATTTAATGTGTTGAAATGAATTTCAGCCATTAATGCTTAAATTATAACACATGTGACAGTGGGAGGCTCTTCATGTCACCAAACCGTCAACGAGATGCACACAAACGAGAGTGTAATACTGTCGGGGAAATGGGAAAACTGGGTCTTGGGCGATGCAAAGGGATTATTGTTAGTTGGGATAATGTTATTGTGGTTATTGAAAAGATAAAAAAGGCCTTACCTCTTACAGAGGACAAGCGGAGGTATTTATCAGTGAGACTTACTTTGAAGTAGTTCCTGGATGGGGAGGGCAGGGGTTGGTGAGCGTGGAGGCGAAGCAGGCGTGGCTGTCTGCTGGGGCGGCCTCCTGCTGGGGCGGCTGCCTGCTGGGGCGGCTGCGAGTGGTGGGTGCTTAGGGCTCATCGCGCCGTTCTTTCCGTACGTGGTTGAAGTTTATGCTGATGCAGACTTTTGTTATTATCTGAATTTCTGTGGATATTTGCAGTTCAAGTTTGATAACATGTTCCTTCTCAACTATTTATACTTTTATCTATTAAAAGCTTATTTTGAAGAACTGTGTACATCTTCAAATGTGCTGATCTAAAGCCACAGTTTAGCTAATATGGAAGCTTAATTGTTGTATAAATCAAGAAAACTTAAAGGTTTTTAAAATTTGAATAATGGTAAAGAACTTTTAAAAATAGTTACAGTATTTTTCTATACTCTTTTCTCTTGAAAAGTGTTTTTAAAGTTTAAAATATTTTGTTATTTTTCTAAAATAGTCTTTATAAAGAAATATAACTTATTTACTAGGATAAAAAATAACACTTCCTCCTTATTAAAAGCTTTGAGAAATAATTAGGAAGAATAGGGGAAAATCACTATATTTTCAACCTCAAATATCCAGGGTTTCCATAAATTTTGTCTTTTTTCTATGCCTACTTCATTTCCTTAGTTCTTAAAAATATCATTTTGAAATAATATTTTCTATTTTAATATGGCGACGATTCACTACACAGCACAGGAGCTTCCATCTGTAACTCTGAAATTTGGGACTTGATGCTGCTGCCACTTTTCTGATAATTGATGGAAAAATGTCTTCTCTGGTCTCTTCCGACTGTTTGCTTTTCAGTTTGGGGCCTTCCTCCACCAACAAGTATGGGACTGCTTTTTACTGGACATGAAGTATCTCAGCTGTTTCAGATCCAGCTTGCTCCCAGTTTAGAGCCCTTACAACATCCACAACGAACCCCCAGCCCACACTAAGGACTGTAAACTAATTCATCTCATTCTCTGTAGATCAGGGGTGTCAAACTCATTTTCGCCGGAGCCCCAGGAGCCTCGCAGTTACCCTCAAAGGGCTGAAATAATTTTAGGACTGTGTAAGTGTAACTACTCCTTAACAGTTAAGGAATTGAAGTTACATTTGGCCCCTTGAAGGCCACTGTGAGGCTGATGTGGCCCCCAGTGAAAATGAGTTTGACACCCCTGCTGTGGATCAAACACCCAGCCGTAGATGTCACTGATGTCTGGGCATTTGAAGTGTCAGCTAGAAATGTGGGGGTTGCGCTGACCAGCGTTTATGTGGATTGGTGGGGAGCGACGCATCAAAAGACCTCGATGTTAAGTGCCCGCAGAAACCACCATCCCTCCAGGCCGTCCCCCAGGGCTCACCCACTCACTCAGTATGTGCCACCGAGCCAGACTCTGGCTCTAGTGTTAGGACCAGCGCCGTGCAGAGAATGAACAAAGTATGTTTCCTCATGAAGTTTACATTCTAGCGAGGGAGGATTACATGTGAATATATGTCAGGCAGTGAATTTTTTTTAAAAGGCTAGGTAATGTGTTTGACCGTGATGGGGGGTGCCATTTTAAAAAGCGGCCAGTCACAACCTTGTCAGGTGGTGACATCGGAGCAGACTTGAAGTAAATGAGCCACGTAGCTGCCCGGAGGAGGGAAACGCCTGAGCACAAGGGCCCGAGAAGGGGCGGGGCCAGTGTGTGGGAGAAACAGCAAGGCTGGAACAGAGGGGGCTGGCGGAGGCGTGGTCAGCGCTGTGGCAGCGGGATGTACGTGGGGGCGGGGTCGCGGAGGATCCCATCGGCCTCCACGCCTGGCTTTTGTCCTGAGATGGGAGCAAATGGAGAGTTGTGAGCAGGGAGGCATGTCGTCTGACTTACACATTTTACAAGGGTCACCTCGTGTGCCCTGTGGGTGATAAATTATTGGGGAGCAAGGGCAGACCACGGAGACGAGTCGGGAGGCTGTCACTGTAATCCAGGCGGAGGATGATGGTGGCTTTAAGGGGCGGCTTGGTAGCAACGGAGGTGAGAAGTGGTTGGACCCTGGATGCATTTCAGCACTTGGACAATAGGATGTGCTGATGAATTGCTGAGCAAAAGAGAAAAGTCGAGAATAACTTGGCCGTTTTGACCTGAGCGACAGGAGGTGTCGTTTTATGAGACCAGGAAAACAGAAAGGAGCAAGTGTAGCGTAGAAGTGGAGAATTCAGTCTTGGTCATGTTCACGGTAGGGCCACTAGTAGGTACTAAGTGGAGATGTTGGGGAGGCGACTAACTCTGCACCTTTGGAATTCCGGGAAGAGGCCGGAGCCAGAGCAGTAAAGTTGGGTGTCATCAAGCTAGTTAAGGAGCGAAGTGGGAGTATGCACATTCCGTGCACTTTCTATTGTTTGCTGAGCATTTTTTCTCGAATCCCTTGTCAACCACGGTATGAGGGGTAGTGGTGGGCAAGATCAGTGGGGTGACTGGTGGGATCAAATATAGGGACCAGAGGGAATTTCCAGTCTTTACAGCCTAGGTGAGTCTTGTGCAGGTGACCCCAGGACCATTCTCCAGAAGCACTGTGTACGGCACCTCATCCTTTCCTCTTTGACAAGGCACGCCTGAGTTCTTGGTTCTTTGGTGTTTCTCAGCAAACCTTAGATGAGGAGACAAGTGGGCCTTCTCATCCCTCCTGCAGCCTGCGCTTGTAAGCTTTATCTAACACGTGAATGGAAGGAGACACTTATTATGGCAGAGGAGCAACTAAAAAATCAAAATGCCACTAAGTGCAGCACTTAGAACCATGAAACCACTATCACAAGTGGTTAACATTTGTTCGTTAACAACATTTGCTTAGTTAACATTTAGTAGTAATGCCTGACTTACCTGGGGAGTGATCTTTACAGTTAATGAGGTCAGTACTTGGGTTAACATCAGGGTATTTCCTTTCTGATAGTCTCAGCTAGTTCTTCCAGCGGGTCAGCTTTCCCTGTGGAGAGGCCACCACCCCGAATAGTGCTCTCGTATTTTCTATGCCATCAGATACATTGACAAATTGTTAATGTCCGAAAAGTTTATGCACTGGTGTTTATGAATCACGAAGTATGTCATATACTGCATCCTCCTTCAGGCGTGTCCAACCTTCAGCATCTCTGGGCCACGCTGGAAGGAGAGATGTCTTGGGCCACACACTAAATACAGTGTGACATGTAATCACAAAAGAATCTCATAATGTTTTAAGTGAATTTACAGTGTAGTGTGGAGCTGCATTCACAGCGTCCTGGGCTGTGAGTAGCCTACGGGCCGCAGGTCGGACGCACCTGTAAAATCCTTGAGATGACCTTTGCTTTTGAAGTTCTGCACTATAGGTTCTGTGGGAAATAGAATCATATTTGGTGAAGAAAAAAAGGGAGATAAAAGCACTGTGTAAGTATGTTTTATTCTAACAATCCCGTAGACAGCACTGCCAAGAGTGAGTATGCCCGTGGCCACCTGATGGTCCATGTTATTGGTGCAAATTTTCTGTGCACAGATTAGTAACATTCACAGATGACCGAGTTCCCACAGCCTCACTCACACCCTCTTTGTACCACAGTAGGAAACCACAAGAGCAGATGATTTACTTGTAATCAACTTGTCTTCCTGCTTTTTAGGATGGCTGCTGTTTTTCTAAAGAAGCTACCATTACGAACCATCACAACTGAAAACAGATGCCTTAGGTGTTTGGGAAAATGCATCGTGCAGGAGCTGGCACTAGCACAGTTGCCCCGTACCGCCTCTGCCCCGAGACCGGCCTATCTAACTCACGCGAAAGCTTTTAGTACTGTTGAAGACACCCAGGCTGAAAGAAAAAAGAAAGAAAAGAATGAAACTGATTTTAGTAACATTGGAAGAAAAATCAGTGAGAGAATTATTCATTTATTTGATGAGCAGGGCAATGATTTGGGAAACATGCACCGAGCGGAAGTGATTCAGCTCATGGACGAGCGAGACCTGAGACTTGTGAAAAGGAAGCCCAGCGCCGAGCCCCCCGAGTACCAGCTCATGACAGGCCTGCAGATTCACGAGGAGCGGCTGAGACTGAGAGAGAGGGAGAAGGCGAGACCTAAAACTGGTGGGTAGTTTGCTGTTTGCCCCTTGAATTCTGTACGGCTACAAACCAGCCGTTTCAATTCAGCCTTTGCTGCAGTGCCTCTGACAGTGGGGAGGTGCAAAACTGGAAACTTCAGTTTCATCACTGTTTCCAGTGCTTTTCTTCCCTCACTTAATTTCTGTTGCTTGTTTTCTTTCTTTTGCATCCTGTGTCGTCATCTCCTCCTTTAAACGTAGGTAAACTGAGGAAAAACAAGGTAAACACCACCAGAAGGACGGGAACTCTTTCCCTTGGCTCTGTCTCCTAATGCGCAGATCAGTAGAGTAACCGATGGGTGCGGTGCAACGGGACTCCGAAGGGATGGGCTCAAGTTCCCATTGTTGTCCTGAGTCCCTCGTTGACCCTCCTTCAGAAAGACACAGAAACCCTCTCATCTCAAAGTGGAGGTGTTTGGTTAGTTCCGTGGAAACACTTGTTAAACTCTGAAGTGATTTGTCTGCCATGCCTAAGTATTTTGTTACATTACTGGCAGTAACACTCCTTTACATATTTTGCCAATCACCACACAAGGCATTTGTCATCTGAACCTTATAAAAGCCATTAATGAAATCTGAGGTGAAGAGGCTGGTTTCTCGTGATGTTTAGTTTGTACTCATGGTAATGAAAGATTGCTCGATGGTAAAAGCACTAGGGTGGGGAGCAGAAGACTGGGCCAGAGCTGCCACCGGGAGGTGGTGTGCCTGGAGCAAATCACACACTGTCCAACTGTGGCTCGGTGTGTAACGCCACACTGAACCACCACAGGATGTTGACTGGGAAACGTGTAAGAAGAGGCCAGCTAGGGGGGTAAGGACATCAAACTGCATCACTGAAAAAATGGGCTGACAGACTGGAGAAGACACCTTGCTGTGTTCGGAGACTGTCAGAGGCATGACTGTGTCCTGGCAGAAAACTGGGATCATCTGGTCGAAGCTTTCAGGAAGCAAGCAGGTGTTAATAAAAGCACTCCTTTTTAGTAAAATTACTCTTATTTTGGAAATTAGATGTAGAAAGATATAATAAACTCTTACCATCCAAAATGAATAAGCATTAACATTGTTGTACTTTAGATTTCTTAAATAAAACATGACAGAGCTAAGGTCCCCTGTGCGCCCTTCTCCCCTCCTTCCCCAGAGGTCCTTGCTCACTCTCCGACTCAGGCCGTGGGTCCAGTCCATGTTGCTAAACTCCATTAGGACAGATACAGTCATCAACAGTACACAGAACAATTATGCTTGCTTAAAATTATAAATGGCTCACTTGTTTTCAAGGTGTTTATATAATAGCTATTGCTAATCATTAGAAACATTTCATCATGAGCATGTACTGTAGCTTTGCCAGCCCATATCCCTGGCCGTTGGGCCTGTTTCCAGTCTCCATTACTGTGAAGGAGCACATGCGTGACCATGTCTCCTGGTGCGCGCTCCAGACGCCTGCGGGGCAGACCAGACGGTCAGCGGTGTGCACAGCTCTCCCTGCCCTCGCCCACACCTGGTGCCGTGGACCTTGCTCCTTGTCATGCTCACAGCCCAGAGAACACACTTCCCTTTGTGTCTTCACCCATTGAGTCTCCTCGTCTACATACTGCTTGTTCATATTCCTCTTTTCTTACTTAGATGGTTTATTTTCATCCTTATTTATACAGCTCTCTGTTCTGTGTGAAGAGAAAAACCTTCTCCTGGTTAAATGTCTCACTTTTGTTTTTCCCTTTGTTTTGAGGTCATAAACATATCCTTTCTTTTCTTCCATTTCTATTCTGTATTTTTCACATTTAGGTAGTCCGTCAAGGGAGATGGTTGTCTGGGTCAAAATCTAACTATTCCCCCCGTATGAAAACTCAATCGTCCCAGTGCCTTTAATGAGCAGTTTTTTCCTTCCCTGTAAAATAAGCAGCTAATAGTCGGGAGTTCCCGAGCAGAGGGAAAGAATGCAGGACGCAGCCTGGTGACCCCGCTGTAGCCAGGAGGGCGTCACAAAAGAGTGAGGTGAGAAAAGCACCTCCCCCACGGCTCCACCTCAGAAAGAAAAACAAGGATAATTAAGTTGATCATAAAGCTAAACTTGTTCCTTCTGAAGGACCATTCTTTTGTTCTTTAATCAAATGATGGTAACAATAACTGGGGGCATTTCATATTTAAACACCCTTTCTTCACAGGCCCCCTGAAAATGGTACCTTTATGTCTGTCACCCATTTTTAAGTGTTTCCTGGACTGAAATAAGTCAAGTGAGAGGACCACGGGGCCCCCCGGGCAGCCGGAGACTCCCCGTGGGCTGAGGGTTAGGCTTCTCGACAGGGCAGTGAAGAGTCCCAGCACCAAGTCTCACTGTTTCAAACTAGGACCGACGCTCACAAAGGAACTAATGTTTTCTTCAAATATCGGACAACATGATTTGGACACAAAGAGTAAACAGATTCAGCAGTGGATTGAAAAAAAATACAAAGTTCAAGTTACTGTGAAGAAAGCAAAGAATACAGAAGAACCAGAAAATAAAATAGTAAGTAAAAACAGAAGTAACTGTTTTTTGTTCTCTGATCTAAAAGTACAATTGTAGGAAATCTGGAAAATGTAAAGGCAAAGAAAAGTGACAGTAATTCTATCAGCATTAGTGATGGGAAGCTTTCTAGCCTGTTTTTCAAAATGCAAGCATACTTTTATGTTTACTTTTTCCATCAGGGCACACATTTTTTGCCATGCGAAAACATTCTACTTCATAATTTAAAGGCTATATACTACCCTATTTTACCCACTAGAATATCTACCATTTAAATAAGGAAAACTAGAAACTTTATAGATTTTTTTACTTTTTTTTCTAAGTCCTAGTAAGAGGCATCATTGTCTTCAAGAAAGTGTGTATCAGTTTACAATCCCAGGATAAGCATACAGAATACCTATTTCACTGTGCGAGTCAGATAACTTATCAAACTAAAAGACAGTGTTAGCCCAGCGGTGGGGTCAACCCTGGTTCCACTTTAGAATCACTTAAGCCTAGGCTCCCAGCCAGCTGCCCCGGAATCTCTAGAACCAGATGCAGTTTTCTAACAGCCCAAGTGACTGCGAGTGTTGGGAACTGCACTGGGCTAACAGTTTGGAAGTAAGTGGTTACTCTGCCAGTACGCAAACCCACTGCTTTATACCTGTTCTTGTAAGAAGTTAGCCTAAGTGCAGTGAGGGAGTAGGGATTTAAAAACATCAGGCCTTTAGTTGCCTTCATTTAGTTACTTGAAGTTTGAATAACTGCCTGGTTACTGTACAGCTTTCAGTCAGCTTAACTGGGCATGCAGAATTTGATTTGGCTAAAGGTGTAAATTGCAATTCAAGAATGCTGGGGTTTATGGGTATTAGAGGATTAACACCAGACAGAATCAAGACACTGGTTTTAAATTAACCTTTAGCTGTTTTCCCTTCTTAGCAGGAGATATTTAATCAAATCCTCCAGACTATGCCTGGAATAGCTACCTTCTCATCCAAGCCACAACCCGTTAAAGGAGGAAAAGCTGTCATGTGTGTTCTTCGTCATTTGAGTAAAAAAGAAGAGACTGCATATAGAGAGACTCAGCAGACCCAGGAAGGAGACCCTCTGAACAAAAAAAATGGAACCAACACAGAATCAGGTGTTCTGCATCAGTGATTAAAGAGAAAGGTGCTTTTGAGAGAAAATACAGTCATACCTCAGTACTCATTGGCTTCAGAACTTGTCAGACCCTGTACTTGTCACATTTTGGTGAGAAAAAATGTTTCAGTGCCTGGCGCTTGCTTGGGACTCGTCACACTTGCTAGAACCTGTGTAAGTCACAACGTCACCCTGCTAGAGAAGATGTTTCATCACTCGTCGCTTGCTTGGTACTCGCCGGTTTCAGCACCCGTATTGAGTTCTGGAATGAACTAATGAGGAGTTCCAAAGTAACACTGTGCAGGCATGCCTTGTTTTATTGTGCTTTATTGTTTTACAGATGTTGCCTTTTTTACAAATTGAAGGCAAGACCCTTCACCAGCAGAAACATCTCAACTCACTTTTTCCCACTACGAGCTGTGCTGCGGTGGCTAGGATCCCACGCATGCACTGTCTGAGCTCTGCCTGTAAGCGAGCTGCTGGTCGGTGGGGACACCTGGGCGTTCAGCTGAGGGCGAGCACGGCGACCGTGGAGAGCACCTCGTCCCCCGCGCGGCTCAGCAGCTGTCCGGGCTGCGGCAAAGACAGGCTATGCTCCCGTCTCCCCTTAGGAGGGATGTAGCCACTGAGTCGGGAAGCTAAACTCCGTCTCTCACGAGTCTGCTTTACCTTTGGAAATAAGGAAAACACTTAGAATTCAGGATCAAAATTACCTGAGCTTATTTTACAGCAGTCACACACCCTGATAGGCACACAACACCCCATACAAGAAAGTGAAACCCACCCAGTTGCTCTCAGTGGCAATGCAAGCTCACACAGTAATAAAGAGTCAAAACTATTGTAAGTAGATTGCCCCTGGCTTCAGTCTGCAATTTATGTTTTAAAAGCAGCTCGCCTGTATTGTCTCGACTTACTTTAAGCTTCATTTTCCTCTTGTCAGGATCATGAACAACAGCATGCCTAGTGAGGCTTTGCTGAAATGAAAGGAAAAGTTCTGTTTTTAAAACACTGCCATTTGATGTCTATTAGCATGAAAATTCCATGCGTTATTTAAATAAACAGCCTTCTTTCTGCGATGTTCTGTTGAGTGTGACCTCTGTAAAGATTCCCACAGAGGATTCTTCCTAAATCCTGGACACTGCCTCTTCCAGTGACCCAGGTCAGGAATTTATCCAGTCTGTGTTGGTTCCCTGTGGCTTGTTAGTTCTCTCATAAAAGTCAAGAAAACTAGTTCTGAATGAATCATTCCAAGCTGAAGGAGGTTCTCTTAACCAAAACTGTCAACAGCATCCCAAAACCAATGGAGTATCTGCCCAAAGTCTTGCTGTCCGTGCTGAGAATGCTGACCAGCAGCAGCTCCCAGCTGTTTTCTAATGGTTCGGACCTATGCTGAGCTTCATTTCTCTCTTCAGTCTTCATTATAATTCATGGTTTAAGTGTCTGTAAGAGTACCAACCATGGGCGAGTCTCCCCAACTGCACAGCCCCCTCCAATTTGTATCATGTTCCTAACTATTTGAATCACACAGAGATGCAAACTAGATGGACCCCCAAAGTCCTACAGGCCCTCATGTCTTGCTGCCCACTTCCCTTCTCAATCCCTACATGACTGTGGCCTAAAAGGATGGCCCCTGGACGACAGCAGCCTGAAAGGACACCCAAAATACCGGCATACTCATGAATAAGCACTTGGTTCCATATGGAACTGGTTCTCAAATACAGCCCATGTGAGAATCACCCAGAGGGTTTGTTAAAACATGTCACTGTGCCCCCAAACGCCCGAGTTTCTGGTTCAGCAGTCCTAGGGTAGGGCACGTGCGTGGCTGTGCATCTCTAGCAAGTTTCCAGGTGATAGTGGAGCTCCTCAGCTAGGGCTGCACTCAGAACCACGTGGCGCACGCAGATCTGGCTGTGCGGCAGACTTCCGCTCAGGACCACTCCACCTGGAGTGAGAGTGCAAGGCCTTAGGCCCCGCTCACCCAGCCTGCCAGCCTGGGGACACACCATCCTGGATCCCAGGTCTCTGCGGAACCCAGCTGGAAGTGACACATCGACAGGACTGCCCCTGGGAGGGTGAGCACTTACTTTCATCGCGAACGTTTTGCCACAGCCAGCATGTTCACACGCAAACGGACGCTGCTCCTCGTGAAAAGACAGAATGTGGCTCTGCAGGTTGAACACAGTTGTGTAGGTTCTACCACAGCCTTCCCTGGGACATCGACACACACTCCTCTCTGCATTATGTGTTTTCATATGTTGCTTCAGATAATCTTTGCGTTTAAAAGTTTTCTGGCATACTTCACACACCACCTCCTCTGATAAAATACACAAAAAAGTGTAACCAATTACTCCAAGTATTGCCAAATAGAAAACATTACTGTATTCAGTGTGTAAGTAACACATTCAATACATTGAACCTTGCAGTTGTACATAAATCAGAAATTTCAGAGGAAATTAACTCCGGTTTTTATTACTTGAACATTTGTCTCAGTTCTCCCAAGTGCTTCTATTACATGGAGTCACCCTTGCCAAGGAGCAGGGGTTCTCAGCATGGTGGCTGCGGGCACAGGGAGGACACTAAATAGGCCAGTTCCTGCCTGTGTCTGGCACACAGGGCACTCTTTCCCAGAATGCCCCGCAGAATCCCAGGGTCCCCCAGATTCTTTACTTGCCAGAGCCTTTAAAAATGCTGAGTATGCACAATGGCTCAAAGAGACCTGGCGTAGCTCTTCCCAAACCTGGGACCTTCCCTTTTGTCAAACAGCTGAAGTACCCAGCACCTCACAAAATATCTATTATTTTTTTTAAATTATATTTCTTTAAAAGCACTACATCAGTTCTATAGGGGCAAATGGTTATGCTGAGCTATTCATGTCTGCCTTACCTTTATGGGTTGTTCTCACATGTTTCAGAAGCTCTGTCCAGGTCTTTGCCACAAAGTAGCATCCTTTTTGACATTTATAACCTAGTTAAAAAACACAGGTGTGTGCCTTTTGTGAATATCCAGTGTAAACACCGGTCACAATTAGAAAGGAAATGGACATGCCCGTGTAATTTTCCTCCTACCTCCCACTGTACTGTACGCTGCTAGTCTCCAGGGGGGACAGTAAAACCAAACAGCTGCACGTCAAGGTACCTCAGGCAGGACTTGACCTCGGCAGACTTCACAAGAGGCTTCCTTTCCCTTCCTGCTATTCTCGGTAAGCTGACCACATGGCACATGGACATCCAGCTGCTTTAAGCCCCCACCTCCATGGCTCAGGCCTCCCACCCCTGCTTTACGCTTGCCCCTTTTTTCCTCAGCAAAAAGGGTTAGTCGGTCCTTTGTCTTTAGCAAACCATCAACACTAGACCTTAGCAGGTATGTGTCCACCCACTGGTTCCTCCAGCCTTACCATCTTGTAAGTTTTGTATGGCAAAAAATGAAGCAGGGTACAGCTAAGGAAGAAAAAATAAACTAAATAATCCAGAGAAAAACACTATGAACAAAAATTAACATTGCATAAAGCGCTAGAATTGGATGATTCTATCACTGTAACAGCCGGCCTGAGTTCCACCCAACGAAACACCAGACAGAAACAAAAGGAAGGCTGCCAATCACTCACAGCTACTGCTCTGTCCTAAATAACAAGAAAATACCCCACAAATTCTAGGACTTAGGAAATTGGGATACAATTATCAAAAATCCTATATGGAAACACAGAAGAGTCCAGTAGTTAGTTTAATCGAGTCTTTTTGAGAAAACGTACAACGTGACTGCTCCCAGAACTCCAAACTATTATATTAACGAAGCCCTTGGGATGCCCCCAGGAGAAGAGCAGCACATGGAGTAAGTGCAAGGGGCTGAAAACTTGGGCTGGTCAAAAACTTCATTTGGTTTTCTTCCCATAAAAAAACCACATTTTTCATTTTCACCAATAACTTTCTTGATTTGGATATTCTGAGTATGTCAGCTACCTCCTGCCATTGGCTTCTAGTGGGTAGAGGCCGGGGGTGCTGCTAAACATCTCCCAAAGTGCAAGACAGCCCCAGAGCGGAGAATTATTTGGCCAAAATGTCAACAGTACCAAGAAACTTCACAAACCACTTCTGACATGTTCGATCAGTCACAGCACCTTCTCCATATACTCACACATCTTTTTTTGAGTGTTTATCACCTTTCTTGAAATGATAAAGCGTAATATGCCAAAAAGTTGCATATTTTCTTCCATCTTCAATATTACAATGGATGCCCAAAAATTCACCAATTTCGGTCATTGTGTTTAAATGCAAGCTGGTGTGACAGCTATCCCAATGCAGTGTAACCAAACTGTTTTAAACGAAGTTAGAGACAAGTAAGCACCACCAGAGCCATCACACAGACAAAGCTAACGGACTTTCTGGCCTGCCCAGCTCCGTGCAGAAGGAGCGCCCTGACGGAGCACTGCCACAAGCACACAGCGCGGCCCGGCACTGGCTCTGAACACAGGGTCAGCGGGGTGGAAGGGCAGACACAACACAGGGCCAGCAGCTCTTTGGTCCAGGGTGTAAAACCTGAACAAGCAGACTGGTGCCCCCGCCTCGTTCTGAGTTCTCCGTACGACCACGGAAGAGCAGAAAGCACCCAGTTTTCAAAGACTCAAAAACATACACCCTGTGACTGGTGTGTTACCAGAGTGAACGCTGCCAAGTACGTACCCTCGTGGACCTTCCCGTGGCGTTTCAGCCTGCTGGGCGAAGCAAAGTGTTTTCCACAGCCTTCGTGGGTGCACCTGGGTTAACAGGACACGAAGTGTCAGCCAGGCCGCTTTCCAGAGAACTCCACTCAGGGTAAAGCGTACTCTGTCCTACTCTCCTGCCGGTCTCCCCTGCCCACAACTAAACCAGTCATATAAAAATGATTTAAAACTGAGACCGTACCCTAGATAAAATTCAAGTTACCTGACCAAACTGGGGGCAAAACGAACTCAGAAAAAAAGGTCACATGACATTTTTTTTTGCTTATGGGATCAAATTAAACACTGTTTTATCTTCATTCTTCTGAAAATATACTGTTTTCATGGCTATGAGAAAGGTGTTATGGTCAACACCTAAACCATCCCCAATCGCCTGTGTCCAGTTTTCCTATCCATGCTGCCCGAGTGGCGTGACAAGAAAACACAGCAGCCGCTTCCCCCGCCTCCCGCGAGCGATCGGATGCGCAGGCCCTGTCATGGCAGCAGCTCCCAGGAGAGGGCGCCGCCGTGAGTGGACAGAAGGTGCCCAGAACCCGTGCTCTTCAAGGGTGGCCATCGAGCAGGTGGTCAGGAGCCCTCGGAGCCCTCTGCACGTCTAACAGCCCCGTCCCTCCTTCCTGGTCCTCACAACCCCTCCCTGATGCAGGCCACCCACACCGCTTTTGTCTTACAGGACAAGAATAATGACTGTCTTCCTGGTGACATGGCATGTCATTCAACGGGCTCTATCTGAATAGTTAAGTCATTTACTAGTCCTCCCTTAAAGCTTAACTACAATTGTACTAATCTCACAAATTATTCTGAAGCGTATCAGAGAAACAAAAGCAAAACTGAACTTCTGGAAGAGGCCAATATGTAAATGGGCATACACTATACACGTTAACAGAAAAATGCTGATTAATAAACTGTTTCGAAACACGTGCACCCCCTGTGCACTTCAGTCTATTCCCGTCCGACGCCCGCCGGGCGGATCGGAACCCCCCCGAGCACTTACGTGAACAGCGGCTCGTCGCTGTGCTGGCACTGGTGGGCCTTCAGCTGCTGGTGTTTCCTGAAGGTCTTCTTACAGCCTTCAAAAGGGCACTGTTCAGCAAAGGTGTGTCAGTCACGGGAAATCAGACACCAGTTCATAACAATCCTCTCCAGGTAAAAATAGCGTGCGGATTACAGACTTGCTACTTTCACCCATTTAGCTACCGTAAAATTCTTTGTCAAGAAACTTTAAAGAGAACATTTTTGAAAGAGCAAAATGTTTCATGTGGTAATCTACCAATCATATACTTTAGTTGGCACAATAATGTTTGCTTTCAAAATAAAACAATTATTATGATAGTGTGAGGCTGAATTCAGATATTTGACACATAAAATTTAAATACTGAAAATTCTAGAGACACATAAAAATTTAAGAGAATTTAAGGACAGAAAATCATTCCCACTTACTACATATTGTTTTTGCTGATTTTCATGTATGCGTTCATAATGTTTCTTCAAGTTTGATTTTGTGTTGAATTTTTGGTCACAGCCACTCGCTGTACAACTGTAGAAATCATTAACCCAAATATTAACAAACCAAGGGAAGAAAAATGTTAAGACTTTATAAAAGCTAATTATTCCAAAGTATAGTATAAAATAGTCTTTAACAAATTCCAAAGGGTAAGTAAGCCACACCAAGTAGGCCTCTCTGCTTTGATGTGATTAGCATGTAACGAGATGCAATTCATGTCTGGCTTCTGCAATCAAGACATCCTTTGCACACCAGGCAGAGGGGAGGTGAAAAAACACTAGCTCCAAAAATCCAGACCCTGTTTAGGCTTAACTCCATGTTTAAGTTAAATTGTTCTCAGTTTAGAATCTGATAACTATAGTTTTGCTTGAAACATCACTATAAACTGCCTTTCCAAAAAACTTCAAAAAAAAAAAAAAACCACCCCAAACTGGTTTTACAGAACCATAAACCATTCTGCTCTTTGGCATATCATCAAGCCGGTCAACTTTTCTTAACAAGCATTTCTATATCAGGGCCTTGAATTACCTAAATTCTTCAGGAAACTGTGTTCTGAACATGTGTGCTCTGTCTGTGGTGAGTTTTTATCAGCCTGATGGGTGAGGCGGGACTTCCTTTCCAAGCCCCCACCTTAGCTGCCATTCCCTGGTGACCACTGAGTAGTACCCCCAGGGGGCACTGTGCCGCCCGCAGGGCCGAGTGGTGGGAGGCAGAGACTGACTGCACACTGACCGTGGGAGCTGTGCCCAGAAGCCCACTGGAGACACACAGGAGGGGAACTCTGGGGGGCACTGTGGCAGAAATCCCTAGAAATTCCAAAAGGTTCTTTAAAAATCTTTTGTAAGATGTATTTATTGATTCCAGAGAAAGTGGGTGAGAGGCACAGAGGAAGGAAGAGAGAAACATCGATGTGACAGATCAGCTGCCTCCCACACGCACCCCATTTGGGGACTGAACCTGCAACCTCAGCATGTGCCCTGACCGGGAATCACACTGGCGATCTTCTGATCTTCAGGACTACGCTGCAAACGAATGAGCCCCACTGGCCAGACCAACAGGTGTTCTTGACCTGCTGCGTTTCCGCTGGGTACACGGCCAACATAAAGAGAGCTTTTTCCAGCCTCCCTTGCAATTACAAACACAAATGGCGAAGTTCTGGTCCATACAACTTATGTCCCACAAAGTATCTGAGAAGGGGGCACACCTCTTTTGCACATTCTTCCATCCTGGTGGCTGCACTGCTTATGTGACAGCTTAGAGTTCCAAGGTCCCAGGATGAGGATGGCAAAGATAAGCTGAAAGGAGCCCAGATCCTGAGTATGGAGTGGCCCTTGACTGTTTGATTATGCATTTCAGTTTTGCAAGAGAAAGGGGCAGAGTACTGAGGACAGCAGATGTCTGTTTCACTCTATAGGGCTGGGTTTTCTGTCCCTCTTGACTCTAATCCAGACACAAGCGTCTAACCTGACACAGGTGTGCAGCAGGACAGAGCCAACAAAAGTCCTGACAGCAGCCAAATAGCAGGCATGGGGGCATTGAAGACCCTGGCAGACTTAGCAGGGATGAGCAGGGAGAGACTGCAGGTCAGTTAAACATAACCATACCACAATTTCACATCTGAAATTCAAGCAAATGGGTCAAGATAAACAAACAAAAGGCCGAATCACAAGGGTCATTTATATAACATGCTAAGAACCTGGACTTCATTATGTTAAGCAATGCTTAAAAAACACTGCGCTGTTTTAAGTAGGACACCAACCTGGAGAATAATGTGGGAGAGGGCCAGTGCAGAGACAAAGAAAACAGCCATTCCAATGAAGAGTCAGGCCTGAAAAAAGACAGTGGCAGCTGGACCAGGACAGACAGACCTGAGGGATCAGGACCAGATGACCTGTGTACTAGGGAGGAAAGTAGACCAAGGCGTCCAGGGGAATTGCCTTGTCTTTGCTGTGGGTCACCAGACAGACAGTGATGCCGCCTGCCTGACAGGAACAAGGAGGGAAAAGACCAAAGAGAAGGCAAGCTCAGACTGGACTTCAGTGAATTTAAGAAGCCACAGAGACGGCTGGGTAATGCTGACCAGCCAGCAGCTGGCTATGAGGATCTGGAGCAAAAGAGAGAGGGGTCTGGGCTAGAGACACACCTGGAAGACATCACCTTGTTCCAGTGGAAATGAACTTTTCTCATTCATCCTGTGCATCTGTACCCAGACCCATTTTCTCTGTTGTTATTTTTAAATAGTGTACAGTAACTTATTTCAGAAACCAAAAAGCATAAAAAGGGACTCGAATGCATGTTTCCTTCCGCCCCTGTCCCTACCCACCCAGGGCTTCCACCACTCCCAAGACAGGTGATGAAGTTTTTAGTTTTATGTGACTTTTAGGGCTTCTTCTATATACACAAGCAAATATGAATATATGTTCTTCCTCTGTACCCCCTCCCGTTATATACACAAAAACTAGCCCTTTATACACACTTCTGAACATTGGTTTTTTCACTTAATGTGCCTTAGAGCTTTTCTTCATTTCACAGAGATCACCTGCATTCATTTCTAAGGCTGTACAGGATTCCACTATGACGACACATTTTAATCCTCCTGATGGGCACATGGGTTGATCCCAATGCTTTGTTACTAGTAATCGTAACACAATCCTTTTGGTATAGGAATAACTGTATATGTAGAATAAATTTCCCAAAGTGAAACTTCTAGGTCGAAGAATTTATTCCTGCCCCATTTCCCACTTTGTAACTACTCTGGTTACACTTTGCTGGTGTAGCTGAATTATATTTTGAAATAAATTAAGCTTCACTTAGGGTCACGGACCTTGAGGACACACTGCATGCTTGAACAGGGAGTGAGACAGACATCTGCCGTCCTCAGTACTCTGCCCCTTTCCCTCTGGCTGGTATGCTGGTCAGAGGGAGAGGACATGGCCTTCCACAGGGAACACGACCATGAAGACTGTCCTGTGTCAACAGCTCACCTTCTTCAGACTCTGGGAACCTTAGAGAAACAGGGGACCCTTCACATCCATTAGCTTAAAACTAACAGAAATCAACTCAAGCCACCAGAAAACCCTACTACTGCTCACAGAACTGTCTCACAGACAAACATAGGATCTTAAATCCTAACATCTGCAAAACCTGCCACATAGCTATTTCCTCATACGACCTCCTGCCCAAAGCTCTGGACATCTACTAGATTTTTTTTCCCCCCAAGGAAAACTCAGTGTTCTCCTGGAACATTCTGTTTAGTGGTGCTAAGTGTGGATGCCTGACCAGCAGCATCGACATCTCCCAGGAGCCGGTAGAAGTGCAAATTCTCAGGCCCCGCCCATGACATAGCGAACGAGCCGCTCTGGGAGTGGGGCCCAGCAAGCTGTGTAACAAGTCTCCAGGTGATTCTGATGCATCCTCAATCCGAGGTCCACTGTGTTTTAAAGTAGTGGATTTAAAAGAAAAGCTGTATCTCCACCCTTTCAGATAAATAAACAGTAACTCCGAGAACAATATTAAAATTGGTATGGTAGAGGTGCAGGGGTTTAATCCAAAGACATACAAGATAAACTTAAAAGTTCAACTTCTGCCCCGGCCAGTAGGCTCAGTTGGTTGGAGTGCTGTCCCGTACACTGAAAGGTCATGGGTTCCATTGCCACTTACGGCACATACCCAGGTTTCAGGTTCAATCCTGGTGAGGGTCCCTAGGAGAAGGCAACCGTCAATCATTATTTCTATCTCTCTACCTTCCTTTTTTCTAAAAGCAATGAAAAAATGCCCTCAGGTGAGGATTAAAAACACACACACAAAACAAACTCGACTTTCTTTCTGCTTTTATCTCTTATCCCAGCAGCTTATCAGTTCAGAAAGACCCTGACAATGGGAAGCCAAGAACCTGCCAAAGAATCATTTTCACCTGGTCTAAACTGTGTTTGTTTCCAGGCTGATTTTCCATTTACTGTATACTTCAAAAGGAGATGAGAGGATGAAAATGGGAAAGAACTTCAGAGTAACTTATTACTTAAGTAGTAGGAGATGCAAATGAAGCTTCCTATTCTCTTGGTCTTCAGATAAGAATCAATCAGTTTTCTTATCAGGTCAGTGTTCCACACAACCATTTCAGAGGCTGAATCCCAGTTCTCTAACTTACGCAAAGGGCTTTTCTCCAGTGTGAAGCAGGGCATGCCGGCTCAGGTGGTAGTCTCTGACAAAGGCTTTGCCACACCCCTCGTGGTCACAAACGAACGGTCTCTAGCAGGAAGGAAAGAAAAAAAAACGTCAATTCTGCCCACATTAGTAACTTTGGTATTATTTAAAGGCCTCAAATGTCTAGCAGGCAAGGCCATGGGCTCTGTCTCCAGAGATGGTTTCCACTAAGTGTTGAGCGCCGGCTACACTGAGGCCAGACAAGGTAGTCCTACGTGAAGTTACACATCAATGCCACAACTTCTCAACAAAGTCACTGCAGCAGACTTTGCTGTATGAATAGCATATGCAGTAAGTGGTCAGCGTTCACAGTTGGTTAATCTGCTCCTAACCTGACACCTGGCTTCAAGTGTAACCCCCATCTTAAACATCACTTGCCTATTCACATGGTCTATGTACAGATCTCTACCACAGCATGTGTGTGTCCACCCAAAGCCTACGGAAGAATGTGCAGGTTCAGCCGCATCCTGAACAAGCTAAGTGTCTGTGCTGAGAGAATGGCTGGCACAGCTACAGCAAAACGTGTCACACCTGAAAAAGTTCACAGGTGCCAGGGCAAAGCAAAGCTCATAGCCCTAACAGCATCCAACCTTTGGGACCTAGTGGTTGAGAGGAGGGGACTCCATCCTGAATCTAGAGGAAAAGACAAAACACATCCTCCAAATAACCAGTTTTATGTACTTAATATGAAAAGTGAACCATGACAGTCTAGTAGGGAGATAACAAGCCTCAAATGACAGTACTGGTAGCAAAGCAAATGGAGAGGAAGACAGATGAGCTGTACTACTAGGGGCAGATCCACAGACTCTGCACAGCTCCTGTCGAGGAGTAGGCGCAATCAACATTTGTCAAATTAATGTGAGGATTGGGAAAACAAAGGTGCCTTCATGTTTTCTAGCCCGTATGAAGGAAGCTGGTAGTGCCAACAGCCTAAACACAACATGCATGTCTAAAATTAAAGGTAAGCACTAATTTGGACATACTGGTTACAGGGCTCAGAATTTGGGGGGTAGGGGGTAAAAGGAAAGACAGGAGGCAAAAGGTCCTGGATGTTATGAGTGAACCCAGTCACCGGGCAGGCTTGCCAAGAGAACAGGGAAAAAGTAGAGGGCAGAAGATAAATCAGTGAAAGGGGCCAATGAGGAAGAGGAAAAGAGCTGGAGAAGGTCCTGAAAAGGAAATGGTCAGCCTTTAGATGCTGGAGAGGTGAAGGAGAATGGGTGTCACTAAGGCCACATGGAGGAGTGACCTCTGAGTTAGGTGTTAGTGGCAAAGGCACCAACTAAGGCAGGTGTCTAAGTTAATTACAGGTTTTTCTCTGAAGCAGTGTGAAGCCAGTCTCCTCCCAAAAGTAGGAAATTGGGCAGATTCCTTGGCCTCCACGAGCCTCTCTTCCCTCAGCTGTCTTCTCTCAAAGTAAAACCCACACACCAAACCCATTTGTACCCTGGCCTACAAATGACCCCACCAGACCTGCTTCTCAGAGCTTCTTTTGTATGGGTCCCACCCAATAACACTGGCTTGCCCCCCCCCCCCCAGCCCCCAAAGGCCCACAGGCTCTCTCTGCAGTTCCCTCTGCCCAGATTTCCCCTCAAATGGCTGCATGGCTGGATCCTTTCCTTCTCATTCAGGACACGACAGGCCTTTCCCAAGCACTCTCCAGATTTACTATGTCTCACTCCCACCCATTCCTTTCTCTGTATGTCCTGCTTAAGGCACAAGGTGCTTGCCTTGTGCAAAGGCAACAGAGGCCTTGCCTGTTTTGTTCACTGCTCACTCTCTCCACGAATGGTACTAAGTCTCGAAGGAATGAATGCATGTTGCTTGCAAAACCTCCAGTACTGAAAGTCATCCCACACACAAGCTCTGGGAGAGAGGTGCTTCACGCTGGAGGTACTGGAGTGGAGACTTGCAATTTTGCACCCATTTACAGATTACCTGGAGATAGTGATTGGCCAAGACTCAAGATGAAAGAAAAGAGAAAGGCCGCTCCGTAAACTCCGAACCCGTGGGCAAGGATACCTCGGTCCTAGAGCTGCTCGTTTACCTCCTCAGGTCCGTTCCTAATCTAAGGCATGGTTCACTAAGGTGGTCCACGGTACCAAAGGTGAAGGTGTTTTGTAAAGACCCTGCGCACCCACGTGCTGTTCCCAGGACTCCCGGGGGGAGCACACAGCTCAACCACCACTAGTCCCCGGGGCTTTGTCTCCAGGGCCGTCCGTGGCCACTCCTTCAGGCTCTTTACCTCCCCCGTGTGCTTGCACAGGTGAGCGTCTAACTTCCAGGCCTTGTTGTAACTGGCGCTGCAGTTCGGGAAGGAGCAGATGAACCTCCTGGGATGCACAGGGAGCAGCGGGGCGGGGCTCCTGCCTGCGCTGACGAACGCGTCGACAATCGTCAGGGACGAGACGCCCTCAGCGACTGAGCCCGGCGGCTCCAGGGCTGCCGGGCTGCCGGGCTGCCAGGGCCAGGCACCAGGCCACGTGCCGAGCAGCGTACAAGGAACACCAGCCCTCCGCTCCGATTGACCCAACACCGGACTTCCGTGATTACGCCCATTCCCCCGATCACCCCCGCCACAGGCCGGAACTGGTGCGCCTGCGCACGGGCAGCAGGCCACGCCCCTTCGGCGCCGCAGTGTTCGCGCATGCTCAGAGGCCTTGGGACTGAGACACCGCCGCCCCTCCTCCCCCACTTTCGTGGTAGACGTCCCTCCCTCTCTGGTTGAGGGGCTTTGGCTACCTCCTTCATAGCAAAAAGAGCCTTGGGCCTCAAGGCCCAAGATCCCGCGACACTGATAAAACGTGATGTTTCCCATCCACCACCATCCTATTTAAAGTACTAACCTTGCAAAATTTAAGCTATCCTGTTCTTATCACATTATCAGTTTGTCTTCTTTATTGATTCATTTCCTTGCACGAAATCTACATACTTTGTCCTCAAGCCCCACCCAGAACAGCGCTTCCTAAGCTTAGCTGCAGATGAGCATCACCTGGAGATCTTTTAAAGCTCTTAAGCTCAGAACATACCTTGGACCAATTAAATCACAAATTCTGTGTGTGGGAAACAGGAGTCAGTAGTTTGGAAACTCCCCGGGTGACTCCAATGCCAAGAAAAGTTTGGGAACCACTTCCTTCAGGTTTTGAAGCTCTAGTGTGCTCTGTGGACCAGTAGCATCATTAGAAATCCCAACCTCAGACCTCTGTAAGTCAAAAAGGTCTGCAGGTGATTTGACGGAAATGGAAATTTGAAAACACTGTTTAAGAGTCTTGAATGAATACTGGATGTGTCTTGATTTATGAAGCCACATGTTTAAAGGATGTCCTTGGATGAGAATGACATGATGGATGGTCTGATGTTCTACCGCATTCTGTTTCACGGCCTACATCACCGCAAATCATTAAGCAAGCCCTTGTCTGCATATGATGAATGGGTTCCTGCAGAGAACAAGAGCCTAAGTCCTGACCTGGGTCCTTACATCATATTCATTCCTGAGCCTCAGTCTCCTCGTCTTTATTATTACTTTTTGTAACGAGTCCTTGTCATTTGGAACTGTTCTGTGTATTCCCTCCTTCTACCTTTCTCTCATTGAATGCCAGTGTCCCTTCACAATCATTGGGGACAGTTAGAAGAGGCCCCATACACAGGCATCTCCCCAGGATGTGGTTCCTGACCCTCCAACCCAGGACCATTGGAAACCCCTCTGGGGAAGAAGGAAATCTGGATTCAATGGAAGAATTGTCCAAGACATACCAGCGGTAACAGGGTACAGAAAGTCTAAAGAAAAAGATTCCCAAAAGGAGGATTATCAGTGGTGTCGAATGTTAACAGAATGACCAATGAATAAGGATACCTTGAAAATGAAAGGATGACTGGGGAGATGTTTCTCATAGCTTTTAATTATTCCCAAACAATTAGGTGTTGTCTTATATGGTAAGTGATTGGAGCTGGATTTTTTCAGGAGAACCCAATTTTAATGCTTCGTTACAGTGACACAATCTCAGAATTTATCTCTATTTAAAATGTCATATATATTATTTGTATATGTGTATATGTACATATAATATGGATTTGATTCACAGGAAGAATACGGTTTTTATAATCAAAAGCGTTATCTCATTGTTGTTATATGTCCATTAATGCCATCTGCACAGCTATCCATAGGATGACAATACACAAATATCAGGAAGCTTAGCTAAAGTACTCCTTTTCCTTCTTTCTAAATGTAAAGAATATTTTTGTGGGTGTGCGTAGGAACAACAGGACAATATCATCATTTAAAAATGAAGTTGCCCAACAATACATGTTAATTTTTATAATTAAATGCAGTCAAGAAGCTGATAGTGGTCTCTTCCTTATAAGTTAAACACCTGCAAAGATGTTCGAGCTCTTCCCGCCCACGTCTCATCCCTCCCTGTCCTCCCTACCCCCACCCAGGCTTCAGGCCCTCACGGTGTGATCGTCCCTGCCTGTCTTCTATAGGACTCAGAGTTTCTGCCCCCGTGACTGTGGTTTTCTAAGGGTTTTGGCTCAACCCAAGCAGCCTGGATCTTATATTTTCTTTTTTAAAATTTTATTTTTTTAATTTAATTATTTTTCAAGTGCAGTTTTCTGTCTTTTACTCCCATCCCAGCCCACCCCCCACCGTGTTCCCCACCTCCCTCCCATTTCCACCCCCCTAAGATCTTATATTTTCTGGCTCCTTAACGTCCCATGGCTAATGACTCCTGAAAAAGTCTTTGGCCCACTTGGGATTCAGGTTCTTCCCCAAGCCCAAACAGCTTCATCCCAGAAGGAATAAGACTGTGCAACTTGTGGGTTCACCTAGACAGAAGTCTGGTACACCTGTTCTAGCAAGAAGATAGTGTCTACCTACCCCAGCGTTGCACCTGCCCTTTTCCACATGACTTCTTTTCTCCCATAAAGAAGGCTGGAGATATTTTCTCTCTCCTTGTCTCTAAGCTCAGCTGTGTGACTTGCTCTGGCCCTGTCAGTTGAATGTGACAGCACACCTAGGCCTCCAGAGAACTTGTGTGTTGCCTTCTTATGCCTCTGCCACTGCCACAGGGGGGGACATTTCTGCTTTAGCTTGTCCCCTGAAGAAGACAGACATGAAGAAAAGCCAAGTCACCCCCGGAAAGCCCAGCACAGATCAGCCTGCCACCACCTGACATTCAGCCAATCCACATATCCATGACCATATACAATAGGAAGCCACTGCATTGTGGGATGCTTTGATTTGCAGCAATTATATAGCAATAGCTAATGGATACACTCTCTTCACCGATACTTCTGAATAGGAACTGAATCCTGCCAACAACTATGTGGCTTAGAAGCAGATTCTTCTTTACCGGAGCCTTCAGATCATACCCCAGCCCTTGCTGACCGTCTCCTTCACTGCAGCCTGGGAGAGACTCTGAAGCAAAGAAGCCAGTTGAGCTGTGCCCGGATTCCTGATCCACAGAAATTATAAGATAATAAATGTGTTTTGGTTTAAGCCACCAAGTCTGGTAATTCGGTATGCAGTATAATCAGTACAAAGAGCCGAAGTCTTTCATTACGCAAAGAAACTCCTGACCCCGTGGTCTTGACCTCAGACTAAGGAGAGAGCATCTGAACACAAAGAGTTCTGAGAGGAGAGGGCCTCTGACTCAGCATCCAGCCATTGTACAAGCTTCTTTTAACCAAAACCAGATTCATACTGTGGCCAGAATGAATGTAGTTATGGTGATAACTGGGCATGATAGCTTGAGTGCAGACTGCCCCGGAAGATCTTCAGTGTGTAGTTCCTTTAATCCCAATTTTACTCCAATCTTCCAAGGTTTACTTCTCCGAGACGGGTTCAGCACAGCCCGGGTGGTCAGGTAAGGCCATTGTCCCTATGGCTTGGCAGGGAACCAGGACATCATCTATGAAACATTAACCGTAACTTAAAGAAACAGAACCACGTGTTCATTCTTTGTAGGCATGCAGTAGAAATGCCTTTGGATTGGGCCCCAATTGCCACTAACTACTTGAGTATGACTTTGGGCAGCTCTTCCCAACCAGCTTTGCCTCATTTATAAACCAAAGGAGACTCAGAGTTGCTGTGGGCATCACGTAAGCACTCAGCTATTAACCTCCCCGTGCTTCCCTTTCTTCAGGGGTCAACTGAGGACAATAGTACCTACCTCACAGGTTGTGAGAATTAAATGAAAACATACGTAGAACACACAGCAAAATGGGTGACTCAGAGGAATGGCTCAGGGGATGTCGGCTCTGGTTGCCATGGTTACCATGACCTGGGCAGACCCCTTCACCAACCCTGAAGTGCAGCACATCTGTAAACTGTTCCTGATGCTAAGTTCTCAAATATCGGTGGAAAGAAAAAGGGAACGAATGAGCACTGTTACTTTGGTCTTGGTCTGCCCGAAGGGGGCGGAAGGCCACATTAAGAAAAGTTCCCTCCGCTTCGCCTCAGGATTGAGCGACAGAGATTCCAGCCTTCAGCCACATTCTGGATAAAACCCACACGGGCATCCCTCAGGAGCCTCCAAGAGCCACTGACTGTCCCACTGCTCAGTCGGGAGAGGTCCCCCATGCTGTGACCTGTATCTCTGTCCTTGCTCCCAGCTGTACTGTTGACAGATTTCTCACCCTCTCAGCATCTGTTCTTTGAATGTCCCCCACGTGGACCTTTGGAACTATCCAGTGGGTGGTGCTTAGTCCCACTTCCATTTTTCTTCTTGGTTTTCCACTCATTGTGCATTTCCAGCCTGGCTGCTCTAATTAGCCCCTTGCTTAGGTGTGACTGTCACATTTTCCTGTGGTTGTAATGGCCCCAGAGTACTGCCACAGACCTACGCTTAATCGCTCACATCCACTTCAAAGCCATTTTATTCTGAAGTAGCCAGATTCCACCTAGTGAGCAAGGCCTAATTTCTCTGTGGTTACCCATGGGGTCAGATGCTGGAATGCACTCTTTCTATCCACAGCCAGCCAAGATTTTGTGTCGCATCATTTCCTCTGCCAGCCACCAAAGATGCCCCTGAAAGAGGTAAGCAGGCATCTCCGGGGAGTCCTTGCCCCTTGTACGGGTGGCTTCTCGCTTTACTTTAGGGGTAGAATCCACCTGCTCCTCTTCAGCTCCCCTGCCGCCATCTCGGTCCAGTGTGCCAGCATCTCACCCGATCTTCAGGTGCATGGCGCAACCAGGCTCACGCTCTCAAATCCTTTCTCCAGACTATGGCTGAGGGCTCCTTCCCAAAGGCAGGGATTTCGGGGATGTCCCATAGCCTTTAGGATAAAACTCCAACTCCTTACAGGTGCCCTTGCAAGACCTCAAAGGAGCCAGCATGACCTCCAGCCTGCCTTCCCAGCTCTGAGCCTCCTCCTGGCTCACACCTGCCATCTCTAACTTCCCTTCGGACCTCCCACACCGCTTCACCTGGCTGGTATCACTCTCTCCTCCTCACACCCTGCTGTTCCTCACAAGCAGCCAATGTCAACTCATCAGGTGGCAGCTTAGGGGTAAATTCCTCCAAGAGCTTGACAGGCACGTTCCTGCTGGCCAGGCAGCCAGCTGCACACCTCGCAGTACCCTGCGTTCCCCTCCTCGCCGCGCTCCACCCACTGTACCACCGTGGTCTCACCAGTCTTCCCCGGCTGCCCTCGGCGAGCTCTGAAGGCTGGGCTTCCTGCCTGCTAGTCACCGCTGTAGCCCCATCGCCTAGCACGGGACCTGCCAATATGTATGGCAAGTGCCAGTACATATTTCTTGACCGAATTAGTACCTTTTCCACCACTGCTACGAAGCAGCAGAATTAATAGTGGACGTTT